TACATGGGTTACACTGGAGTTCCTCAACATACCACAAACGCAAACGCCAATTACGGTTCTGGAGTTCCTCAACACACCACAAACGCTAATTACGGTGGAGGCTACGAGTATACAAACTCTCCAAACGAGACAGTGTATTACCAGACACAGCCTCCTGCTCCCAACACTGCTATTCCTTTAGCGTCTCCATACCAAAGCATGACACCAGCAGCAGCTGCAGCCGCTTTAGCCGATATGTCAAAGCAGATGGCTCTTGACGGCGGCAAACAGCAACAACATATGGCTGCTTCGTCTCAACCGCTTTAAACACTAGATCTTAAGTAACAAACGCGCAAAATTAAAGTATAGCCAATTACATGACGCTCTCTGGTTTTTTTTTGTTTTGCTTATTACGTAACATCTCGTTAGATATAATAGGCTTTGCTATTTCGTTTTCTAATGTTCTTATCTTAGTATTGCTAATGTCTCTCTCTCTCTCTGTTTCTATATTTTGAAAATAAATTTGTTTGGATGGTTTTTCTACTGGGTGTAGATTAAATAAATTTTGGTTCGGAATTGTCTTCATTCGAAGATTGTATAATTACCAAGAAATGCAGCTATAGATGCTATTCAAGTTTAAGTGCCACATAGGCTTATATGTACATGTTCTTGTCAAATACACAACTTGTTTAATTACCAAATGACTAGCTTTACTCTTTAGTCCAATGAAATGAATGAAAGAGGATGATAGATGAATAATTTCAGATTTTTCTTTGACAGAATTGGTGAAAAAAAAGTTCTATATGGTTTCATTGTAAATAGTAAAATTTGAGAAGATAACACAGTTTCAGTTTCAGTTTCACCATACAAGTTTGTTTAACGGAGTAAAAAGGGCTAAAGGGTCCAGTGTCAAATCCGTAAATTTAAGCCACCTTCGTTTACAGGATCATACTGTTTGTACTTGGGATTACAAACTCCGTCGCCGAAAACCCTAAATCTCCGATCCACCACCATGAGAGGAGCTCTCTTCAGAAATGCATCTCTCTGTGCTCGCAGAGTTCTCATTTCTCCTCGAGTAACCCATCAAACCTCCTCCGTCAATGTTCCCTTTCTCGCTCCGATCGCCGCTCCGTTTCCTCCCAAACACAGATTATTCTCCTCCGAATCCGACTCTTCCGGTGAGAACCCGACTACTGCTCCGGAGTCTTCGCCGATTGAGTCAACCAATAAGAAAGATCTTGGTGTTGAGGATGTAGGCAACAAAGGTAAAATCACTTTATCCCCTCCTCTGTTCAAACTCAGAGATTCAATCGATTAGAAGCAACAACAAAAATGTTGTTCTCTCTTTTCATTCTGTGACTTTTATATGTAGCGGATATCTTGAAAATTGCAACTGATTCTTGGATGAAATCATTCAATACTTAAGTCTATTGGAAATTTTCTCATGAGCTAGTAGAATGTGTAGAGAAATTTTGAGGTTATAATGTAACTCTAAGATATTGGTTTGTGGTTTCAGAGCTAAAAACCCGTATAGAGAAGTATTTCAATGAGGGTAATGAAGACGCATTGCCGGGAGTTATTGAAGCAATTCTGAAGAGAAGACTTGTAAACAAGCACGAGGAGACGGATGATGAATTGATGGAGACAATCGAGAATCTACCTTTCCAAGATGATGTGAAGGATGAAGATTTTGAATCTGATTTCGAGGACGCGCATTCTACCGACGACGAACTCGAAGATTTGTACAACGCTCCCGAGGCTGTAATGAAAAAGATGAGTAAGGATGAGTTTTTCAACATGGACGAGAAGAAGTGGGATGTCATGATTAAAGAAGGTATCCAACATGGGTTTCTCAAGGATACTAAAGAATGCGAAGATATTCTTGAGGATATGCTCCATTGGGACAAGCTTCTTCCTGGTAATTCATCTTTCGTTTGACCGAATCACATCTTTAGACATACTTACCTTTGAATCTTTCGTAGTTACAACCTTTTAGTAAACCTTTTGAGGTATTTGATCTTCAGAGACTAGGCTGATTGATAAACTAATGTGTATCAAATGGGACTGAGCATTTCTTAGTTATTCTTTCTATTTGGATTTTGCTCAAATCATGGTTAGGAGGACTATCCTTGTTTAGCAAATTCAATTCTTCTCTGGTGAGTAGGGTCTTTTAGGGAGCATCTATGTTTGTTCCTGTGATACATTTATAAGAACTTAGGGAAATCCTCTGACTGTATTTTCATTCAGATGACTTGAAGAAAAAAGTTGAAGCAAAGTTTAACGAGCTCGGGGATATGTGCGAAAGGGGTGAAATTGAGCCCGAAGCAGCTTATGAGCTTTTCAAGGAATTCGAAGATGAGATGGTAATTCAATATGGGGATCAAATGTTAGCTGAGGGACCTCCCAAGTTTGATGAAACGGATGCTTCCGACAAGAACACCGACTTGGATGATCCTCCCGGTAAAGGCGCAATCCTTAGGTGGCAATCAAGGATAGTTTTCGCTCCTGGAGGCGATGCATGGCATCCAAAGAACAGAAAAGTTAAAATGTCTGTCACAGTAAAAGAGCTCGGACTCTCGAAGCATCAGGCTCGAAGGCTAAGGGAACTTGTGGGGAAAAGATACGATTCAGGGAAAGACGAGCTGACAATCACCAGCGAGAGGTAATATATAACTTTAAACCTTATCAAAAAGCCTTTCGTTTACAGAACAAGGATGTGGAATCATGAAATGTTTTTTTCCTGTCACAGGTTTGAACACCGAGAGGAAAACAGGAAAGATTGCTTAAGAACGCTTTACGGGTTGATAGAGGAAGCTGCGAAAGCCAACAAGATCGCCGAGGACATGAGAACTTCATATATAAAACAGAGACTCCAAGCCAATCCAGCTTTTATGCAGAAACTACAAGCCAAGATCACAAGGTCAAAAGAATCAAAAGCCATCAACGTATGAAAATTACTTTTCGCGGTTCGTGTCCTTGTTCTCGTTACACCAAATAATCCTTTTGATCGTCTCAATTGATCCGGTACGGGTAGGGGTTTCGGATCCATGAAGAATTAATGGTAACTCCATATTTTGTTTTGGTTTACTTCTCATGAAACTTGGTCGTGTTGTTGGTGCCTATTAGGACCATGATACAATAGGCAACGTTTCTTTATGGTTCAATATGAATTTGGATCCGTTTAACTGTTTAGAAAGAGAGTGAAGACAAAACAAAACATAAAACATAGTACCAAATTTGTTTGGGTTCTTAATAAGATGCATTTTTGTACTCTTTAAGGAACTTAATCATCTGAATTCTGAAGTTGGTAACTTTATATCCGGTGTGGTTCGGATTCGATATTGGTGTTCTTTCTATAAACAAACTGAAAGTATATTATCCACTATAATTGAACTAAAACTTTCGTTTGTTTTTCCGGTGAAATTTGAAGAAATCGAAATGAGAAAAATAGTGTTCTTTGCTTTAACAAATAGCTATACCATCTATAAAAGCTATGAAAGAGCTGTATAACACGAAAGTAGTCGACATGTTGTATCTTTTTTACTCCGACGAAGACGAAGGAATTCTCA